CTTTCCAGATACTATTTATCTGAATCTTATATGGAAAGTATTGGTAATGGAAAAGATAGAATGGATGCCTTAATGACGAGAAAGACTTACATGAAACGGGGATAACATTATTTTGTTATCTTCGATCAATAACGTTTTGACACGCATGACAACACTTTCACGTGGCACACTGGCATAGTATTTCTAGTCAGAGATAGCAAAATAGTTGCTACTTGAAATGTTCATGCATTGTAATTTTTTGCTAGCTTGCATTATCATTTATAGTGATTTTTAAATGGGAATTATTTGGTAGAAGGGAAAATAATTGGTTTTAGAATCTAAGTTGGTTAACATTCATATTGAATTTCTTTTTGAAGGGAAATATTTATATTGAATTTTACATGGAAAGTATTGGTAAGAAAAGATAGAATGACATATTATGGCATTGGCGTTCAATATTGTGTTTAATGACATTGCAGTTTATGAAATATTCATGCATATTGGTTTTATCCTAACATGCATAATCTAAACTAGTTACCATTTATAGTGAATTTTATATGAAAAATATTGGATAAAGGGGAAAATAATTTGATGTACCTGTCGCTGACCATTTATATGGAAAGTATTAGGTAAAATGGAAGCCAAATAATGACTTATTATTGCATTCAATACTGGACCTTAATAATGATATTGCTTTTGATGAAATATTCATGGATCTTTTGGTTTTTCCCTAGCGTGTATAATCTACGTACAATACCTTGGGATTAGGCCCCTATGGACCTCTGAGTATGGGATTTTAGTTTAACAGGTCTCGATACACTTAGGAGTGTACAACCTATATTTGAACTATAGATCATTATTGTCTTTTCCAATTTGAGACTTATATATCATGACTTGTATTCAGCAACAGACACCAAAAAATATTAATTCACAAAAAATTCTACAACATAATAAAAAAAAATTGTAAAGAAGAGGGAGAAAAACGTAATGAAGTACAACAAACATTCTAGAGCAATGACGAAACAATTTTTTTGAGGCCTAAAAAGTCACGACAAATCCAAAAGCATTTAAAACCTAATATGACGTATGAAATAAGGGATAAATAGGTCTTGTATTAATTCCAATTATATTTTTTGGGAACTAGTTTGACAAAATAAATATGTATGTAAGCTTTTATACAAATTTTAGTAGTATCATTGCCATGCCAAAAAACATATTCCTTTAAATTTGATATGTCACTAAGCTCGGTCACAAAAGCCCAAGCCACTCTAACACATGCCCAGGCATTCCAAGCATATGCCAAATAACTCAATGCAAGGCTAATACATTTTTCTTATGCCAAACACCTACCAAGCGTACATGAACCCAAGTTATGTGGTTTAAAAGGCTTGCACGAGGGGTTGTGGTGTAGATGGTTATAAAGATCCACAAGGCCCACATAAACTCTTGGATAATGGAGACTTTGGGGCTACTTGGGAGCACCAAAGTCCAAGCTCATTACTTGAAGTTCTCCAATGTGGATGTACAAATGAGATATTCTTCAATCACTCCCTATTACCCACTGGAAACAAGCCAATTCCGATACTTCCTTTTATCGAAAGGAAATAATCATTTTCCGATACCTAGTTTTACATGCTAGATATAAGAATGTCCCAATGCTCCCTTTTATACGTTGGAAATAAGATGATTTCATCACATTCTTTTACCCATTGGAAATAAAGGAAAGCCTTTGCCTTCTATAAATTAGAACCCATGACCCAAGGAGTAACCAACTTTTCTTGGTCGCTGGAAACCTCTCAGCAATCATGAGAACCCCTCTTCTCATAGCGGTTGCAAGTTTCCCAACCAACCATCGACCTCTTCCCTTGGCTATCACCCCTCTTCTCTTGGCCGAAAACTTCTTTGGGCTACTGCAAGCATCTCAGCAGCCATCAACCCATTCTCTTAACTGCTCTAAAAATCTCAGTAGCATCACAACCATGTTTCCTACTTATTCATCCTTGAAATCCTTAATCTTTTCTATAAAGCCTCACCTCAAGCATAAGTCCAAGCAACTCCTTCATCCTCCCACCTCTAGAACTCATAAATCTCTCTAGAATCATAGCCACAAACACCATAGCCTTTAAAGTCTTAAGCTTTTCTTTCCTCGGCTATGCTCTTTGAAACCCCCTTTATTTGACTACTATACGCATCCTAGCAACCATCACAAGCAAAAAATCAAACCACCAAAGTCAGAGCCTCAAACAATAAAACCATCATTCCCAAACTCAAGCATATCCAACATCAAGCCAAGCACGTGCATTAATTCTCATTTGCTAAACTGTGGGTCTTTAGCTTCTACACTCCAAGCTCTTATGCCAAGCTCCTACAATCTCTATTCAACATAAGCAAATCATCTCCACCCATGTTCAGAGCTGCCGGAAATATTAACACAAAACACGCAGTCACTGGAAGAACAATAGAGTACTCTCCTAGGACTTGCTTCTCCTTCGCGATGCTTTGGGCTTAATTCTTGCTAACTCAGAAAAAAAGGGCAACGAAGACTTGATTCATCACGTTATGGCGGTCCAAGAATTCAATTCCTAATTTTGTGTGGACCCTACTTACTTTTTAATTCCTTGATATAAATTAAACGCAAAAATCCTCCATAAATAGAATTTTCCTGATGAGAATTCCAATTCCTAATTAATAAACACACCATCTATGTATTTATAATAAAAATGATTTAAAAGTCCACTTCAAGCCTTAAATTGTCTAATTGGTTCAAACAATTAAAGTTTTCCTCTTCCGGTTGGAGCGGAAGGAAAAAAAATGTTAAACTGGTCCATTTTAAACGTAACATTTATGGATGTCACTCTTAAACAATAACCTATTGGATGTCACCGTTGGACAAGCTATCCATGTTTTGTTATTATTTCATTTTATTTTATATTTTTCCTCCCATTTTTTCATTTTATGTTAAGAGCACAAATGTGAATAAAAAAACTCCATTAAAGAAAATCATTTTAACAACGAAATGCACCCATGGTAATAACTGAACCAAATTGTTTTTATTTAGAGGCGCAGCCTATATGTCCTTAAAAGCCCTTAAAGAAATAGCAAACTATTTTCGTCACAAAACACAGGAAATCTCTCTTTTTTATTTTATTTTGAGTAGTCAAGATTCAAGAAAGGCGTCTTATTGTTGTTGACCCATCCAGAGAGCAATGAAGTAGAATCGAAACCATCTTCTGTTCCAATCACAACCAAGATTCTGATAACTCAAAGATGCACAGATCCGCAAGTGCTTCCAGAGTCTCAGAGGACTTGGTTGTGACCTCCTCATCAACTTCACCGCCACCTTCAACCTTCAAACCAACCACAGACGACTCTTCAGACCAGCATCTACATCTACCCACATACGATCCCCTCTCTCATGTCGCAAAGAAGGAACGGCGTCGTATCAGGTCCGCAGAGAACGCCATTCACATCATACCTCTCTTGCTCGTCCTCTGCGCCATCATCCTCTGGTTCTTTTCCAATCCAGGTACAATACAACAGTACCCACTTGCCCATTTGTCTCAAAGATTGTTATTTTCCATTGAATCTGACAGTGAACAACTCATATGAGTATTTGCCTTTATGGGTTGTGATTGGGATTTTGTTTTGTTTTCATATTCAGTACAATTTGATGGATTTTACTTGTTAAGTCTGGTGACAATTTGATTGAGTGAAGTCATCTAAGAGAAAATTTAACCGATTATAAAGGAAATGGATTAGTAGTTTGCTTGCTTTTGGTTAAAGATTACAACTTTAGAATGATCACATGTTTTCGTATTTATTTTCTGCTGTGGTGCCATAGCTTGTACTGTTGAGACAGTTATAAACTGCAATTTTGGCTTTATCAGTCAGCTTCATGATTGAAACTATTTTGTTTGCTTGGGCCACACTTGTGTTTCTTCATGTGGTTTTATATGCACAGTGTTTTAGTATCCTGAAAAGCTGAAGAACGGGTTTTCTTGTGAAGGCTTTCTAGTGTTAGGCATATCTTTGAAAAATGTTATTTCCAGCCTTGTCTTTGGATAACATTTTGCTTCCACTGCCTCCTATCTTATAAACCGTGGCGGGTATTCCTTTCTCGGTATATCCGAAGTGCAGGCAACAATGCGGGATGCTTGTAGTTTAGGATAATTCGTGTTTGGAGGTTTTTTGGTTAATTGGTTGCTTCTATTTCAGTGATTCACCTTTTTCTAGAATGAAGATTATCGAGATTGAGGGCAATACTGAGTGTTGTTGGAGGAGCAGCTTTCCATTAAACAAGAGATGGAGGAATTTAATCTGAATTCATAATTTATGCATCACTAGACCCACAAGACTATTGGAGAAGAAAAACTAGCAGGCTCCCTCTTACTCGAGAAATTCTTGTAAGCAATTTATATGAATGTGATATAATGTAGACCTAGTTCCGTCTTATTAGACACCTTGATTGCACATATGCATCGAAGCTTCGTTGAAATTTATATCATAATCAGAAACAAGCTATTAAATTGGTATTCATTTGGGAATTGCAGAATTGTATTGGTTCTTAGCATTGTGATTTATTTCTTTTGTTTGTGCCTACTCATTTGGAAACAACTTATAGACAGTATAATGTGGAATATACAATTAGTATGGTAAGATCCTTTCAAGCATCTTTCTCCCCACTCTTTCTAACCTAATTAGTTTAGGGGATGCTGACATTGCTCCCTACATTACACAACTGGAGCTTGTAGAGGCTCACATTCAAAATTTGTATGCTCCAACAATGGTCCTAACCTAACAAGCTTGGGGAAGATGACATTGTTCCGAACAGAACACACAACAGGGTTCTCCCACTGCAAGAGTGACCCTACAAGATTTGCACGAACCGTTAGCGGAAAGATGCGAGGCCATCTCTCACTTCCATATGAGCTGAGAGCATCTCCAATGGCATCTGGTCGTGACTTGATAGCACCTGCAAGCTTTCTTGCTAGAACTACTGCATCTTCAAGAGCACAACAAGCACCTTCCTGCTTAAACTGGAGGGCTGATGTTTGGCCACAGCCACCGGTCTACGAGTGGTGTTCGAATGATCAAGTCATCCGGGGTATTGTCTATGATGTTCACTAGGTCTGAAGGCCAGTCTCTGACTAGTTCTGTAGCTTGCTTCTTTAACACAGACGGATCAGTAATTTTTGGACCTGCAATAAGATGCCCTACCGTTGTAAAAAATAGCTACAGATCCTTCTTGATGTTTTATATTTAACTCATGCATAACAAGTCTTAGGCTTAGGAGACTTGAAATTTAGAAATTTACCTGGAGATTGTCTGTTGAAGCAGACAAACCAGTAGACTTTTGTTGGAGAAACAGGAAGAAATCCTGCACGTTGGCCCCTTCCATAGATTTGATTCAGATTTGGTTCAAATGGCTGCCCAACAGGGTAATTTGCAAGGCCACGAAAAGCACAATGACCAACATACTTGGGCTCAGGAAAACCCAGCCACTTAGCTATAGGAGACCGAATCCCATCACATCCGATTACAATCTGTTGGAATTCATCAAGACGAGAAAATGAGAACGAGTGGTACTACATGCATGAACTATTATCTGTAATGTTATAGTTTAATACCAACTGATGTGACACATAACAAGATTGAGCCATCTGCCTAGAGAAAGATCGATAGAAAATTCAGAAAGTAGATTAAGGATAACCTTTGCAGATAGCTGAGTACCATCTACTAGGTCCAACAAAGTTTCTCCATTTTCAGTTTTTTGAATCTTCGCCAGCTTTGAAGAGAACCGAACTGCGCCCTCTGGCAGTTGATTGGCAAGAGTCTCCAGCAGTATTCCCCTCTCCACAGGACGCACCTCTTGGCTGTGCCGTGAAACTTAGTAACAAAACTTGAGTGCATGATTGAGTAAAAAGAAAGAAAAGAATTGCATGTTCTCAGAAAACACGGAAAGATCATGAGTAAGTTCATTACCTTTCATCTTCATCTTTGAACTTGAAGGAGCGTAGCTCCCTTCCATCTTCTGTCTTTACCACCATCCTGCACAGCTGATTGCATGAACCAGATCAGAGGAAATTGGGTAGCTTTTTCACAATGCAGAGCTTTTAACATGGTGTCCAAAACTTATAATTTTAGTTGTAAGATTAAGCATAAAGAAAGAAACAATAACATATATACCCTTGAATTTCAAGAAATTGGGTTCTGAGATCATTTCCAACTCCAATTGCATCCAAAACTCGCCACCCATTTTTGAAAAGGGTGAGTGAAGTTCCACCAGTACGAAGTGATTCTGCTTGCTCAAGCACTAAGGACCCAACTCCAAGCCTGTTAATCAAAATTAATAGATATTTAGAGTTCTTTTGCTCTAAAAAGCATACGTTATTATGCTTTTATTTATTTATTTATTTATTTATTTAATGCAAGCGATAGTCTAAATTACAAGAGGAAGATAGGTTTTCTCATACACACACAATCAAGATGTCATGGGGGTTCGAACTTGAAACCATTAGTTTGCAAATCAAGGTCATTTTCCAATGAGCAAGATCTCTTTTAAATGTTCTATAATACATCTTGTCCAGTACATACAATATTGAATATTCTCTTATCAATTTAGACCATAATTCAAGGGATTTTTCTTATTGAAATGCACGGAAAATCTGCCAACAAACCATGATTTGACCAAGGCAAGTTATGACAACATGTCAAACGACCAGTTTTACCGTTCATAATGATTAACACCAGGTAAAAGAAAAAGTCAGTAACATGGGTGGTAAATATTCAAAACGTCTGAGAAATGACCATGTTCAAATTAAACAACCTGTGAAGAGAGAGTGCAGTGGCAAGACCAGCAATTCCAGCGCCAACTATGACAATATCCTCCTTGCGAGCAGCCGTACCAGATTGAGCTCGGATGCTTGAAAAAGAAGAAGTGGGTTTGGTTCTGGTACTGGTTGGAGCTTGAAAGCAATTAGATTGGTTGCGAGGAAGTGGCCTAGTTTTAGAATGGTATGGTGAAATAAGTGGGTTTTGAAAGACCAGGGACATAGACACTGTAGCCATGGTTGGTCAGTTGTGTTTATGCAACAACATTGTAGAGTTTTGTGTTCTGATAGAGAGAGAGAGAGAGAGAGAGAGAGAGGGTGTTGGTCAGCCAATTAGCCATGGAAAATTAGTGGCTATGATGAAATGGGCTAGTGGTATTTGGATCAGATTTTACCCGGGAAAACTTATCTTATGGGTTTTGGGCCTGGTTTCGGCTTGTACACATACATCTCCAAAGCAAGATGAAATATTTTCACACCCCAATAAAGTCATCTTGTATTCTTTTATTTAAAGGAAAAAGGGGATAAATTGCAGTACAAAAAGTTGATAATGACTTTTTCGAAGGGAAAATACTTGTATCCTTCATTAGAAGTTCCTTTCATGTTAATCACAGTTTGATATGTATGTTGAGTTTTTTTTTTTTTGTGTTTTTGATAAATTATTTTTGTCTGTGTCAAACTATGATTTGCAATAAAGAAGTAGTGTTCTTTTCGAAGTGACAATTACAAGTTCATTTTTAATTGTTGTTGTTTTGTGCTGACACCGTGTTATTGATTTTGGGGCTGCCCTTCTTTTTCTTGTGGGCTTAGTTTGTTGGGCCATTTTAGTTTCTTTTTGTTTGGTATTACCAAACCACAATCCATGTGCACATGAGATTTGTGAACTGCCCCTTTGTCTTTACACTACAATTAGGTAACTGTGTTTTTTTTTTTTTTTTTTTCTGATAAACTGATTAATTATAGGTAACTGTTCAAAACACACACACCCGCATAGGCAGACCTACAGAGGCGCAAGGAGGTGAATACCTCTCGCCGGAAAGAGCTCTGGAGGTTGTGGAATTTGCCCATCAGCTCTGCCATGAAAGTGCCCACAATCTGCTCGAAGAAATGCCTATGCGAAATTGCTTTTTGTTTGCTGTGGTGTTGCGTTGTTGGTGGGCTGTTGCGGGCAGCACAGCCGCATGCTTTTTTATAAAAAGTCCCTGGCCAAAACGACTCATTTTGGACCAGGGCAATGAAAAAAAAATAGGGATAAAGCCTTATATTTTGCGGATAGGAACCCACTGCCAAAGTACAATTAATATTATAAATAATTTAATATAAGGGGAATGCTAGCAACCTTCTCTTCAACCTTCTCTTTTGGACATTCTCCACTTTCTTCATGACATGTGTCCATTTCCTTACACTTAAAATAATGTAATTAATGTATCAAACAAGCCATCATTAGTTTTCCAATTTTACCCTTATTAAATATATTGATTTTACTGTTTTCTTTAATTTATCCAAAATTTTTTTTTTACAAACTTCTTACTACCTTGTTAAAAATTAATTAAGAAAAAACCTTTTTTTTTAATTAAAAAAAAAACTCTAAAGGCAATGAGACATTCAAATAAGACTTAAAAATTAAATAAGAAAAAACGTTACTTTTATTTTTTGTTGCCTGAAAGATTCCAAAGGAAGTAAGGAGAGACATTGGTTTAATCTAAAATTTGGTATGCAAGAATTTTAGGAATTTTTTTTTTCAAATAATCAAACTCCAAAGGCAGCAAGGGATATAAAAAAATATAAATAAAACTATGAACTTCCTATGGAATCTGATTATTTGGGGTTATATATATATATATATATATATATTTAGTTGTCACTGAAAATTCTCTTTAACTTTATTTAGTAGTATAAAAAAATGCAATTAATGAACTTCCTTTTGAAGGAAGTCTTTTTTTTTGTATAAAAATGTGATCTTTCTATTGAGTGTATTTTTAGGTCATTCTTTTGTGTTTAAAAAAATAGAATTTTTATCTCTGAAAAAGATAGACATTTTTTTTTTAACTGACATTTTTTATTATTTAATTGTTTACATATGGTAAGAGAGTTGTACAATTATTTTTGAACAAATTGAATGACAAAACATTTAATAAGGGTAAACTTGGAAAACAAATGTTAGTTTGTTTGATGCATTAGTTACATCGTTTTAAGTGAAGGAAAGTGACATATGTCATGAGGAAAAAGGAGAAGGTCCAAAGGAGAAGATTAGAGAGAAGGTTGCTAGCATTCCCCTTAATATAAAGAGAGTCCTAAATTGAATTGAAGAAGCCAACAGACCCAAATCTCAAGGTCTGTGTTTTTTCTCTCCCCTTTTTGGTCTTTTTTTCTTCTGGTGTTTTATTTATATTTTTTTTATAATATGTTTTTTTATAATAATTAGTTTTTTTGATGTGGCTCTCTCTGTATTTTTTAATTATAAAGTTATGAAACATTACTAGTAATCTTCAATCGAATATTGCCCCTTCTATAAAAAATTCTTGGGTCCGCCAGTGCACACGCACTCTCTCTCTCTCTCTCTCTCTCTCTCTCTCTCTCTCTCTCTCTCTTCCCAGTTTTACATCCTTCACAATCACAAGTGACCACCATTGACGTTACTCAGCTGCATCATGACTCTCATACAAGGTCTGTTGTGATCAAAACTATTCACGATGCTTGCCAAAAAATGGGCTTCAGGTAACAATAATTTCAGATTGCTCTGTATATTAATCGTGGACGTTATGTAATGTACTTACAACATTTATATAAATATGTGCCTTTTGTTGTAGGTTAAGAATCAAGGAGTAAGCAAAGAAGTCACTGAAAATGCTCTTGGCTCATTGTCAAAGTTCTTCGATTTGCCAAAAGATCAGAAGACAATATTCTTGTCAGATGATGCAAACAAGCCAGTAAGATTTGGGACTTTCCCAATAGACAACTTGGATGGCGTTTTAAGGGAGTTCATCAAGATTTATGCCTACCCTATTGACGATTGGATTGGTTCATGGCCTCATAATCCCATGAATTTCAGGTAAATTGAACTTATTTTGTCAGATAAGTTGGTAAATTAATTGAAATTTATTTGGAGTTAGGAGAAATTTAATTTGATGTATTTGTCCAGAGAAAACTTGGGAAAGTATGCAATGGAGGTCAATAGATTATTCCTTGAAATAATGGGGGCCATAATGGAGAGCTTAGGCCTCAGTCCAACCTACTTGAGGAGCAGTCTTGAGTAGGGGTGATATTTTAGACCGAAAAACCGCAAAAACCAACCGACAATTTACCGCAATGGAACCGCAATGCTGGAAACCGAACCGCATTTGCGGTATGAAGAACCGAACCGTATTTGCGGTTGCGGTTGTTGTATTTGATTTTTAAAACTTGTGGTTACCGCAAACCACGACTATATTTAAAACAAAATTACATTTTGTAGATAGCATTGGTGCTCAAACAACACAACGGGGTCCTTCAAATCCACTCACCACCACCAACACTTGAGTTTGTAACATTGGTGCATTGCATTTTCCTTTTAGTTTGTAACTTAATTAACTTTGAATTAGATTTTTTCTTTGGGTTGTAACTTTAATTCATTTTGCATTGCATTTTTCTTTTGGTTTGTAACTTTAAAGGATTTAGAATTGGAATGCTTGAGAAGTTGAGGTTGTGAATGCTTGAGAAGTTTAACTTTAATTAGAATGCTTGGAATTGTAACTTTAATTTTCTTTAGGTTGTGAATGTTTGAGAAGTTGAGGAGGTTGTGAATTTATATATGCTTGAGAAGTTGAGGTTGTGAATTTATATTTTTGGGTTAAAGTATGTTTGAACTCAAAAGGCTTCAAAAGAAGCATCAAAATTAGGCCTAAAATGTGGAAGATTGGATTTTTATGACACAAAAAGAACTTGCAGTTTTAAACCGCTAGGTTTCAAAAATCACAATACCGCAAATAGTCGATCGGTTTGCTGTTTGGGCAAAAATTCGCGGTTATCGAACTGCAACCACCCCTAGTCTTGAGCAAGACATGCACATGATAGTAGGTAACATATACCCACAATGCTCCCCATCAAGCAATATACTCGGAATTGCATCACATATACAGACCACACGATCATCACAATCCTTCTTGAAAGCATGTCAGGCCTCGAGATCATGGATTTCGCCGACAACAATGCTTGGAAGTCTGTCCCGGAAATTGAGGGTACCCTTAAGGTCCTCGTAGGGAACCATCTTGAGGTCCTCAGCAATGGATTGTACAGGAGTGTTTTCCACAGGGTCACTCCAAGCGATCAAATTAGTAGGGTTTCCATAGGCAGCTTTCTTAGCCTTCCCATGGAAGAGATGGTGGAGCCTGTCATGGAGCTTGTTGATGAAGAGCACCCCAAAGCGGGCAAGTAGCTTAGATGAGTATATATCTCCACCAAAGCAGAAAAGTCCTACATAGAGAGCCTGAAGATCTGAATAAACATAGAGAGCATGTAATGTAATGTATTAATGTTAGTGAGATGTTTTTGCATGAACCTTTCTTTTCATGTTCTGCATCGGCGAATTCGAACTTGAAGAAATTATTGTGCGTGATAATAAGAACATCGATCGTCATATATAAATTTTAATTCCGAATATCAATTTGGAAATTTGTTGTTTTTTGCTAGAGATAATGTAGGGAAGTATGCATAGTAGGTAAGGAGGCTAGGCACTGAGCATAGGCTTCCATCCTACTTGAGAAACAGTCTTGAGCTAATGCACGTTTAGTAGGTAACACCTACCCTCAATGCTCCCGATAGTAGCTAGCTATACTCGGGCTACCCTCACATACAAATAAAAAAATTCAACCAAAAAAAAAAAGTTTAGTTTTGTAACTGTGATCGAAGAAATATACAAATACAATATTTTTCATGAACAATATGAAAATAATTGCAATAAGAAAATCAAATGACTAAATGATTTCCGGGTAGGCTAAATTTTGGCAAAAAAAACGGTTGAATGATGATCAATAAACTGTTCGGATCATGAAGTTTACAAAACCCACCATACGAAATTTCTTCTCTCTGATGCTGAAATTCAAACGATGACAAATGTGTTACATATACATCAGACTTCCTTGTAGTTGTAGCACTCCAAATAATATGAAAATTAAACACAAATTAGACATTCAAATGCGCTTTTCTCAATGTCATTCATTCTGATCTATCATTGCTGAGACAACTGAAAAGGGGAATATCCTTATTCCAGGAAAATGAAAGAATAGGTAACCCACCAAATGTACACGGCACCACTTTACAGCCTGTGACTTAATGCAAAAATGATACATGTCAAAATAAGGACAATTATCCACCTAAGTGGTCCTGAATTCAAATTTCTACGGTACGCGCGTGTGTGAGTTTCCTCTCTCACCATTTCTAACTTTGGTCATACACACAAAATCGTTCATTTTTCATATTTGATAATAGGTATGAAAAAAATTTAGGTTTTAACAATTCTGTGATCACATATGGACAATGTAGATGATAAACACGAATTTCCTGTGACAAATGAAACAAGAACACGTGTACAAAATAATATTTGTATTGATGAAATTTAGAGTTACAATCTCCGTATTGAATCCTCTGATTCGATCTCCAAAGTGTTTAAAGAAAAATTGTGTTTGATACAAGGGTCGTAGAAACTTGATCTTGATCAAACGGGTAGCACGAAGCTTGTTTGGTGTTTGGGATTTTTCTAGGAGGGAGGAACCGACACGTATTTGTTGTGCTTGGTGGCTCTTCCAAAGTGGGGTCAAGAATGCAGAGAGTTTTCTGTTTCTTCTGAATGTTTTTTTTGTCTAAGCCCTTCTCCTTTTTTTCTTTCATCTTGAGGCCTCCTATTTATAGACTCCTGCAGGATGTTTGACCTAAATAACTTTCCCTCTTTAAAACCTTCCTTTGTGGAATTCTGATTGGATTTAAGAAAATCAATTCCAATAATTTGGCAATTTAACCAAATTATCTTCAATTGATTCACCTTTGACAATTAGTCCAATTTTGATGAGTCATATGCCACATGAGTAAATTATGGAGCCCACAATTTAATCAATCAAACCCTAATTATTTTCTTACTTAATGGAATTTAATTCACCAAAATTTCCATGTCTACAGATAGGTTGTTACCTATCAATACTAATCAATCACTTCACTCTAGTGTTGTACAATGACATATAGGTATGGCATGCAAGGCTTTAGTAGAGTACATGTTGTCCCAAAAACTGTCACACGTGAACTGCCTTTCCTCTTATCTTTATAGTACCTCTCTCCCTCTTCTCTTCTCAACTAGCTTCTACTTACAGAGGAAGAGATGAATTCTTTGGTATCAACTTTACATCCTTCACAAGTAACCACCATCGACGTTTCTCAACTGCACCATGACTCTCATACGAAGCCTCTTGTGCTCAAAAGTATTCACGATGCTTGCCAAAAAAGGGGATTTTTTCAGGTGATTTTTGGGTTTGGTACGCAATAACTTTGTTGTTAATTAGTCAAAAAAAAAAAAAAAAAAAACTGTTTTATTGTCGTTACGATCATGTACAATATATTTGTTGTGTATATCCTTGTACTTGTAGGTTGTCAATCATGGAATAAGCACAGAAGTCACTGAAAATGCTCTTGGCTCATTGTCCAAATTCTTCGATTTGCCAATGGATCAAAAGACAATATTCTTGTCAAATGATGTAAAGAAGCCAGTAAGATTAGAGGCGTTTCGAGTAGACAACGTGAGTAGGGTTTCGAGAGAGCTCATCAAGCTTTATGCTTACCCTATTGAAGATTGGATTGGCTCATGGCCTCATAATCCCACAGATTTCAGGTAATCCCTACTTCTATCACTTTTTTCTATTTTTTCTTTACTTTGTAAATTGTATATGAATAACCCCTCCCTTGGCATGCACCGGCTTTACCCCTTTCTAGTGTGTTGAGATCTATGTGCATCGACGGCTAATTTAAGGCAATTAAAGATAAATTAGAGGTCTCAAGGTTTTGTTTTCGAACCCTGCTCCCTTAATATTATTTCTCCAAAAGAAAAAGACAAAGACAAATCACATAATTAATTAAAATCCTTCTTAGCTGGATCAGTTGTAGTTTGTGCCCCCTATCATTATACTCATAATTCTTCAATCCCCAATATTGTAATTGTATTTAACCTCGGGAGAGGGACTTATTAAGCTCTAAACTGCCTTGCAAGCCACCATCATTCTGCACATTCCCTCCATATAGCGGTAGAAAGTCTGATTTGTCCTTAACTCAGAGGACATGGTTGAAAAGACTTGATTTTAAAAAAGAAAAAGAAAATAGCTACTGTTTGATTCTTTTTTCAGTATACATATTTTATGAATTAGATTTTAATAATTGTTCCACTATATACTTTTTTTTTTTTTTTTTTTAATGCGATCTCACAATTTGAATATGATGTTTTTGTCTAGAGAAAACTTGGGAAAGTATGCAATTGAGGTAAGGAGATTAAGCCTTGAAATAATGGGGGCCATAGTGGAGAGCTTAGGCTTGCCTCCAACCTACTCGAGGAGCAGTCTTGAGAAAGGCATGCACATGATAGTAGGTAATAAATACCGACAATGCTCCCCATCAAGCAACATACTTGGACTGGCATCACATACAGACCACACCATCATCACCATCCTTCTTGAAAGTATGTCAGGCCTTGAGATCATGGATTCCAATGACAACAATGCTTGGAAGTCTGTCCCGGCAGCAGGCGGTACCCTTAAGGTCCTAATAGGGAACCATCTTGAGGTCCTCAGCAATGGATTGTACAAGAGTGTGTTCCACAGGGTGACTTCAAACGCTCAAAAGAGTAGGGTCTCCATAGGCAGCTGTCTTAGCTTTCCCATGGCAGAGATGGTGGAGCCTGCCATGGAGCTTGTCGATGAAGAGCACCCAAAAAGATACAGGGCAAGTAGCTTAGAAGAGTATATCAAGTTTCTCTCCTCCAAAGCAGATAAGTCCTACATTGAGAGCCTGAAGATCTGAATAACGTATTTATGTTTCTGAACTATAACATTAGCATTATGTTATGTAGATTCCTTCATAAAGTTCGATGGCTATGTGCTTCCATCATGTTATCTATGTTGTAGAGTTCTTCCTCTAACAAGTTGTTTCAAAATGTTGTTGGAAAACAATCAGTAAGTTGTATAATATAACAGAATATATATATATATATATATGTGTATATAAGGCTTTTGAATAAATCAATATATAACAACAGAAAAATTACAAATACAACAGTTTGTATTAAATCAGAAATACTATCTTGCAAAGATGATAGAGGCTAGTAGATTTGCTATGCCCTCAGACAGTATTTCGCCCCCACTCCTGTGCTTGTGGTATCAAAACCAAAATTCTAGCACTTGAATTTTGGTATCTGGCGAACTACAATATGGATACTCTCAATGGTTTTTCAGTGTTGTGTGAGATGTATTGGGTTTCAAAGTTAGTTTTCTTCTCTGTACGTTTGGCTATTTAAATAAGCCTAAGACACCCCTTGGACATATCTGTTCAAACATATATGTCTGAATTTTGAAATTCAAACTAACTGAAGTTATCTGAAATTCAAAACTTAAATATATAAAATTATATAATTAATTTAAATAAGGCCAACAATTTCAAAGCCCACTTCAAAAAAACCCAATTGTGTTTATTATAGTGAAATATCTCTACTCTTATAAAGAGTGTAGGAAACTCTTCTCCCACTCAAACTCTAACAAATGTATCTTCATCTTCTACTACTTTGTTGTACAAAAAATAAAAGCGGCATATGGCTTCTATTGGTGTTCCTCCAATTGGAATTAATGAAACTCGAATAGTCTCTGTGATCTATAATAATGCTATGAAATGCATGATTTAGGAACGAAAAAAAAAAATTTGTAAACCATTAGATACCAACTAATGTGGCATTGTTTTATTTGTTTTCTGTATTGTGCTAAACTTTATTTATTGATAGTGAATATGAAAGTGTTAGATATAATCAAGTACTTTTTTAAATACAAACAATAGTCTAAAATTATTCTAAATTAATCTAATTTGCAAAGAAGGTGACTCAAACTTTAAATGCAACTTTGCAGACAAACCGCCTTGACTAACTCGCCTAACCGGCGTCTACTATAAACAAGCACTTAATCTAGGGAGCTTCTACAATGAGGAGTTAAAATGAGGAGGTTATTTGAGGAGACCGATCCGACCGTCTAAACATTTAAAATATTTAAGTCCCATAATTTCTTTACATTTGTTGATGGTGAGATTTGACCTCCTCACTTTAAGCCCTCATTATAGCCTTTCCGCTTAATCTAATGCCAATGTTGTCATTTTGGAAGTTTGTTGTTTGGGCCTAAGAGATGTTGGGTCCATTGTATTGTTTGATTTCCGTCTGGGCAATAGTTTGGGCCTAATGTTTTGACATGTTAGGCCCTTTAAGCTGCCATTTTCTCTGTAGTTTTGATCAGCCTAATAAAGATGGATTGAGGAACTAGGAAGAGTATTTAAATCTTCGTTGTGAATGGATTTGAGATTATGCTGTTTTCATACAAAGCAATAAGCTATATAGATGCTATGAAAGGTAGAAGAACGGCCGGTGGGACTTAGAGGTTAGAAACGAAAAATAATTAATCGTAACCCGAGAAGATTCATTGACTCTTTGAATTTTATATATACAAACTTGGCAAACAAGTGTTTGCTGTGTTTGTGTCAACCTGCTTTTCTTAACAAGTTGACACGACACGAGCTGTTAAGTTAATGAGTGGAAAATACCAAATAAGAACATGACTCATTATAATAACGAATGACAAGACACGACCCATTTCACTCATTAAGAATTAACAAAAATTAACAAAAATTAAAAATTAAAAAGAAACTGAAAAAATTTAAAATTCAACCTGGGGGGAAGAAGAAGAAAAAGAAAAAATGAAAGATATATAAAATTATAAAATTACTATACTTTTAAGGAAAATGCTAAGGAGACCATTTTTTTTTTTTTTTGGGACGAAATCTTCTTTCATTAAATAGAAGGTCAAACGCCATATTACATCAAAATGAACTCAAATAATTGAGTTCACACAAAATGCAATCCAAACAGACATAGCCCACTACAAATAAAACTAATAAAATGCATAAAGCATACATAAAGACATTAAGCCCACATAGAGGCAAAGGGCCCACATAACGACAGAAAACCCAAAAAAAGCAAAAGCCCATACAGTCACAAGCCGCGCCACCATAGCAAGCCAACAACCACCAAGGAGAAACCAGTAACCAACAGAAAATGGTGGTGGGCAAGCCACCAAAGCTACACCAAGTAGGAGTAGCGCTACCATAATCCAAGCAATAAGTGTGATTTGCACTTTAAGGGCATCCCAAACTCCAACAGTGCCACCAAGGATAGACAATGGAAGAAACATCCGTGGAGTCAAGGAGCCGATGATAGTGGTTAAGACCAACCGATGTGACGCAGCCTCCAACACTGAGGAGAGAAAATGCATTGCAAAAACCTGTAAAGAACACCAGAAAAATAAAACTGAAGCCTTCACAGCCTAAAAGACGAAACAAATTAAACTTAAATAAAAGGAAAAAGGAAACAAAAAAAGAAGAACGAAAAGGAACTCGCTCTGCAAAAACAGAGCAGCAACCCGTGAAGGATAAATTTTAGGGGGGGAGGGGGAATGGAAGAGGGAGTAGAAGGTAGGGAAAAAAAAGGGGGTAAAGGAGAAAATCAGAAAAGAAATTAAAAAGAAGGAGATGGGAGTAAAAGAACAGAAAGCAAAAGCAAAATTAAAAAAAAAACAACAGAAAAAAGTGAAGGTAGAGGTCTGGAAAAGAGAACATAGAAGGGAGGAGAGGAAGGGGGATGAAGGAGAGAGGGGGAGAGGAAACCAGAGAAAAAGGAAAAGGGGAGAAGATGGAGAAAAAGCTGAAAAAAAACAGAAAAAAGAACCAAAAAGAGGGAGGAGAAGGGGGGAAGGGAGGATAGGGGATAGTAGGAGAGTGGGGTGGGGGAGCGGGGAGGGGGGGGAGAAGGGTCGGTGACCACTTCTCCCGTGGTGGTGCTAAAAGATAGGGGGCCTAGGGTTGGGAGCTTTTTTTCTCTAACAAGACAAAAGCTGGCAAACGTCAATGACATTAAGGAGATCAATTTTAGATATCAACTTGTGTATCATCTCTCTAATAGAGCGTGGGACCCATTGTATTGGTGGGCTCCACCTCTACTAGAAAGATGGTACACAAGCTGGTATAAAAGTATAGTAATTTAACTATATGAATGGATTTGAGATTATACTGTTTCCATACAAAGCAATAAGCTATATAAATGCCATGAAATGTAGAAGAACACTTAGAGGTTAGAAATGAAAACTATGCAATGTTCCAACCATTTCCTTTACAGTATGAACTTTAAGTGACCAACTTCTTTGACCAATTGATTTCGGGTCGAGTCCAAAACTTGGGCAACATCATAATATATTTGGACTTCACAGACAATAATGTTTGGAAGATTGTCCCAGCAACAAAGGGTACCCTTAAGGTCTTAGTAGGAAATCATATTTAAGTGCTCAGAATAGATTGCACAAGGGTATTTTCCACAGAGTGACTCCAAGTCCTCAAACGAGTAGGGCCTCGATAGCCAGCTTTCTAAGCCTAACCATGGGAGAGATACTAGTGGAGCCTGCAATGGAGCTGGTTGATGAAGAGCAACCCAAAAGATACAGGGCAACTAGCTTACATGAATTTTTCAAACATCACTCCTCTAAAGAACAGAGGGCCTTAAGATTTGAATAAAAATTTATGTTTTCCTTGCCCTTTGATATGTTATAGTAAAGCTGCAAACTTGATGTAAAGGTATATACTAGAGCTTAATTCTTTGGGAACCATAACACCAACGCTTAAGCGCTATTAGTTACGTAATATGGCACACTAATCATTCGATGGGGTCCTACTCCATAATATAATTTCATGATCCAAGCTGTTTCATTTTTTACTAAATTTGAACGGAGATATAATTGCTAAATGATGTCTAATAAACAGTTCATATTATGAAATCATATCATATGGGGTCAAACAAGTAACTAGCGTCATATTGACTCACTAATTAGTTAGCGCTTGAGCACTTATGCTATAAGTAGTAACTTTTTAGCGTTGGAGTAATTTTATTTCTAAGAAGAGTTTTTGATACGTGTGCTAGTACTAGCACTTGGTATGTTGCCGATATTTCTTTGATGCTCTATTGACATTTGGAAAACTCATACTACAACGTTGCTTCTCTCTGGTGCTTTGAAGCTAGCACTCCAAAGAATACGAAAATTAAACCCAAATTAGAGACACAGACACCTTACACAAACTGTAAGGTAGGTATGCATGCCTCTCTCTCTCTCTCTCTGTGCTAGCTTCTACTTGCAGGAGGAAGAAGAGATAAATTCTTTGGTGCCAATTTTACATTCTTCACAAGTAACCACCATTGACGTTGCTCAGCTGCACCATGACTCTCATACGAAGCCTCTTGTGGTCAAAAGTATTCACGATGCAGGTACCAAACATGATAGAATTACATGTTAATTTCAGGTTGCTTTTTATTTATATTAATAAATAAATTTTATTATTGTTGTAACTCATGTATGTATGTATCCTTGTACTTGTAGGTTATCAATCACAGGATAAACAAAGAAGTCACTGAAAATGCTCTTGGCTCATTGTCAAAATTCTTCGATTTGCCAATGGATCAGAAGAATATATTATTGTCTGACGATGTAAGTAAGCCAGTGAGATTTGTGACTAATTCGAGGGACATGAGTGTAAAAGTCTCTAAATTTTTTAAAGAAAAATTAACACTAAAAATGATTATGTAGGAGTCCTACTCACTTGAATTTATGAGAGGTGGTAGGGCCGCAGCGGCAAGGGCTGTCTAGAGGTTAAGGATTGGGGTTTGAGATAGGAGAGGGAAAATGTGAAAGAAATTGGGTTTTGGGGATTTGGAGGCTGCTGGAGTCGAGTAAGGATGTTGGTTCTTCCTTTTTTTCTTTTTCTTTTAATCTGGCTCAAAATGACGCCGTTTTGAAGCCAGGTAATTTTATATAAAATAAATAAATAAATAAACACGCCTAGACCAAAATAAGGTTGTTTTGGCCAGGCATTTTTAAAAAAAAGACAGCCTCGCCTGCGCTGTACAAGGCAGCAG